GTGTTAGCGTCAATCCTTTAAAACCAAAGAACCATTTTGCAGCAAACTGCTACAAAGATAAATTAATTATAAAAGTGACAGAGATGCCAGTTGACTGTGTAATAAAATCAACCAATTCAATTAATTAAATCAATTCACCAAACAAAAAGCCATGGGATCAAAAGGAGAATAACACAAAACAAATATATATAACACACATGCACAAGTCTTCACCATCCTATTGACCAATATGAATACTTTTTGTATTAATAGCAGGTCATATTTTATGTCTTTAGAGCACTTCTGAGGCAGTGTGTCATGTTTGTTTTGGTCCCTTTCTTCCTCTTTAGGAGTCAGTGATGTTACAGTTTTGTGGGAACAAGCTGGATAAGAAGGATTTCTTCGGAAAATCAGATCCGTTTCTTGTGTTTTACCGCAGCAACGAGGACGGATCGTAAGTTGACAAGTAACTTCTTATTGATATCCAGCGATTACATACTCAGCTATTATACACATAAAAACACACATGCAAAAATTTCTGAAGTACATATAGACTCCGAGCATGACGGTTAATGCTCTAAAAGCTTATACACGGAGGACGTACAGTAGGAGCTAAGCCGCCTGTGTGATGTTACATAATGCTTCCTGTTGTATGACTTATGCCTTCCATTCAGAAGCCGTAGATGCAGAGGTGAGTGGAAATAATAGCACAGAGTTGACATGAGAAACATAAAGAGAGGATGGATGGATAAGACAGAGTTAAGTGAAAACTGCGTGTGGAGGTTGCAGTTTCTTTGCCCCGAAGATGCTTTTATTCAAGTCGACTTCAGTGTCTCGCACTTAACACATTTTCTTTTAGTGCAGCTGGGTATTTACTGATGCAGCCTAAATGTTCCGCCGCAGGGTTTAACAGCAGCAAACCGTGGTTACAAAGAGCCAGTCCTGATCCCTTATAAAACAGAAACTGGAAGCTGTTTCTTCAGCTAAGGGTCAAGCTTCCTGAAACACATTTTAAATTATGCTCTCCCTCAATGATAAGGAGAAGAAGCACTGACGGCTTTGTTTTTGTTTTGTTTTTTTCTTTAACTTTGTATGTCTCGCAGGTACACCATCTGCCACAAAACAGAGGTGGTGAAGAATACTCTGGATCCAGTGTGGCAGGCTTTTAAAATTCCCGTCAGGGCGCTGTGTAATGGTGACTATGACAGGTATAGTAGGACACACAAGGTGATGCATGAATGTTTACAGTTAAATGGAGAGAATATTAATATACACAACAGGAACAGGAATATAGGTGAGCATATTTTTAAGCAGAGTTAAGCAGAGACATGTTGGGATTTGTTTGTGTTCTTATTGCGGCACAAATGGAGAAATTCTGGGTTAATAACTTTGTTTAAAATAATAATTTGGCTGATAACTCATGTATATGCTAATATTCCTTTTTGTGTGTCTAATTCTGTTTTGGTCTGAAAGTTTTTAGCTCTTTATCGTCCTTTGAATACTTAATAGGCATAGACTTACAAGACTTAGGTAAACTAAATGTTTGGGCGATGTTTAGGAGCTCCTTTGTATGGAAGCCCGTTTCTGCTACTAAATTTTAAAAAAGTATCCATATCTCAAAATTTCAAGTTATCTTTCTCGCAATTTTGACTTAATAACTCAAAATTTTGAGAAAAGTAACTCAAAATTTCGAGTTAGCGCTGCCAATCAGTAATCTATGTGGAACGCGCACTCAAAACTGGATTGCAACAAACTTGCGCTTTCGAGAGTACGTTTGCTGATAGCGAGGCCATGTGATTCAGCTAATAACACAAAGATCCCATAATTTGTGAAGCCACAATGAAAATAATCAGCAATTTGTGCATTCATGACTGGCTGTAATACTGGTAGCTTAGCTGTAGCATTTGTAGCTGAGGGCTTCAGCTTCCGGGTAACAAGGAAATGACATCAATCACATAGATTACCGATTGGCAGCCCTAACTCAAAATTTTGAGTTATTTCTTTTTGACATTTTGAGTTAATATGTTATTAGCTTGAAATTTTAAGAAAATAACTCAAAATTTTGAGAAAGAGAACTCAAAATTTCAAGTTATGGATACTTTTTTAAAATTTAGTGGCGGAAACGGGCTTCCATACCTTTGAGATCCTTTTAAAAATTATTTAGTAATAAGTAGTAAGTAAGTAAAGCGCTTCCTTACTGTTAGCTTGCAGAAAGATGATGCATGCTAATGACAGAGTTTACTGTAGCTACCCAGGTTTTTAAAATTTTAGTACAGTGTAACTCAGGTAGTGCGACAGGCCAGGAGTTAAACTTAAAAAAAAAATGCTATAGAAGAGTTACAGAAATGACCAGGTTCTGACATGTTAGCATTAACGTGAAGATCCAGTCGGAAATAAAACCAGACAACTTGGATCTTCAGAAAGTCCTGACTGATACAGCTATAAGCCGTTCTTTCAATTGTTTTAAAGGACTACAGTCAACAGATATGAGTGTCAAAGTTTGTTTTTGCATGGATAATTTATTTTTAACCTCCTAGGACCTGGCATCCACATATGTGGACGTCACATTTTGGGTTGTCTAGACCAAAATACTAAATTTTGCTCTACAAGTGCCGGATATCCTTGTACGAGGACATTATACTCCCACTGTTCTATCAAAATGTAAAATGAATTTCAGAAACAAAAATCAGGTAAAAAAAAAAAAAAAAAATCAGGTAATTCTTTGTTTTTACATTCATCAGGCCATAAAAGAGCATGCATAAAAATATAACAGTAGAATGCAATACTGTTGCAGTTAAATGCTTCAGAAATCGTTAGAACACACATTAAAACATTTAGAACACAGAGCTGTAATTAACATTTTCATTTTATTTTGTTGCAGAGTGCACTCTTTGTACAGGTGTCTATTTCTAAAGTGACAGCTACAGATTAAAGATTTGAAACCTAAACCTGGATACATTTAAACATTAAAGCTTACCAGACCGTAGTCTTAGAAAGGAGATGTAGAAACTTCTTTAGTTTGTCTAGAACTTCCCTCTCTTTGCTGAGGACCTGTGCATTCCACAGACCAGTGGCCAGCTCTATAAACAGAAAAATAGTAAATCTGTGGTGCTGATTGATTTTTCTTAATGGGATTTCACTCAGTCCACTTGTTTCTCTGCACAGGAGCATTAAGGTGGAGGTGTACGACTGGGACAGAGATGGAGGGTGAGAGAGCAATGCTTTCCTGCATGTTAAAGCTACAGTGGGTGGTGCAACGGTCCATGAATTTATGCAGTATCATTATTTAATGTATTAAAACTACATTCTAAAAAGAGAGATACCAGCGAGACTGTTATTGTGTGTTCTTAAAATCCAAAAAAGCTGCCCTGATAACATCAGAGCATATGTGCAAAGTAGTGAAGTGCTTTTGGGATTTTGCTAACAGACCACTCTCCAAAATGGATGTCCTTATACACACTCTTGTTTTTCACTGTTAAAGAGTAGACACTGGGGAAAAATATCTCAGCGGAGCTCTGCACGTGACGACACGCCCTTCTACTTCAAATATGCAACACATTAATTATTAATATTTTCGGAACGGTCTCTCAATGGTTACCTTCATGGTGTCAGGCAGGGAATAAAGATCGTGTTAATCTTTTGAAGCAAGTGAATTCCCAGTACTCAGGGGCACAGTTTGCCCCTTCATTGTTCATTTCATACACAGTTTGTGACATTTCAAGGGCGTTTTGCCCTGAGCTCCTATTAATATCTGACCCTGACTCCAACTCTGCTGATTATCTCTGTGAAATTACATAAATGGTTGCTACACCCACGCCTACAGTAACCAATGAGCTTCTCAGTGATAGTCCTGCTCCTTGAAGAAGACTTTGCAAATATTATGCACACTACAAACAAATTGATCCAATTTGTTATTCTCTAGCAGGCATTTGGACCATTCCTCTTGTCATTATTATTATTTTTACTTTTCCTGACACAGTTTTATTACAGTGTTTCCTGTTTTTAGCAATGGCCTAATGTGACTCTGTGTGTGTTCTTGCAGCCACGATTTCATCGGAGAGTTCAGTACAAGCTACAGGGAAATGTCCAGAAGCCAGTCACAGTTCCACATCTATGAGGTGATAATCCAACTCCTTTTCCCCACACCTTTCATAATATTAATTATTCATTATTCTCTCATCACGATATCTAATTCAATTCAATTCAGTTTTATTTATAAAGTGCCAAATCACAACAACAGTTGCCTCAAGGCGCTTTATATTGTAAGGTAGACCCTACAATACATACATAGAGAGAAAAACCCAACAATGAGCAAGCACTTTGGCGACAATGGGAAGGAAAAACTCCCTTTTAACAGGAAGAAACCTCCAGCAGAACCAGGTTCAGGGAGGGGCTGCCATCTGCTGCGACCGGTTGGGGTGAGAGAAGGAAGACAGGATAGAAGACATGCTGTGGAAGAGAGACAGAGATCAATAACAAGCATGATTCAGTGCAGAGCGGTCTATTAACACATAGTGAGTGAGAAAGGTGTCTGAAGAAGAAACACTCAGTGCATCATGGGAATCCTCCAGCAGCCTACACCTATTGCAGCATAACTAAGGGAGGATTCAGGGTCACCTGATCCAGATATCTAACCAAAACATAAACCTTCAAACAGCTATTTGAGCTTGTAGAGCGGTGTTAGCATATTATTAATGTGAGGGGTTTACACAGCTTACGTGTCAACACTGTAAGAGTAATACTCTCTGATACACCCACTGCACGAATAAAACATGCTTCAGAGACTGTTACCCACTGTTGCATGCCGTTGCACAATGTTTAAATAAAACATGTCATTCAACCTGGAAACAGCAAAATGCTGTGCCCCATTTTCAAACTGAACATACCCGAGGCAAGTTGTTATTAAAAAATATCCTCACAAACATTTTAACTAGTCCATGCAGGAGATTGGGCATTTTTAACAAAGAGAATGCTTTGAAAAAAGTGGAAATAATTCAAACGCATGTAGTTTTTCACTTGAATATAGGACACATTGTGCAACTTCAAAGCATTTATAGCGTAATCTCGTGTGTACACAGTTAGTATACAACAGAAGCTGCACAATAATTAGAGCAATACCAGGAGGACATGTGATCTGGAAAGCTTCTATGTTGTGGTAAGATTGGAAAATTATTGTTGGATTCTGGCATCATTCACTTTTCACTGATTTAAAGTACACATTTTTCATGCTATATTTTCAAGTTGAAACCAACTGTGGTTTACCAACCAACACACAGTTTAAACAAATGATTTAGTTCATGCTATGCTCAGGACAGCTGTATGTTTCAACCTCAGTGCCATTAAGGTTTAATACTTTAAATTTGGTGCCACGACAAATAAAGTAAATACTTCGATCTAATAAAATTTTATAGGCTGAACTTACAATTGTGAGTACCAAATTATTATTTTTACAAAGCACTAAATAAAAAGAAAGAGCTTAGTAATGATATCAAGTCATTAAATAAAAATAATCGACATTATCATGAAAAACTGGAATACTAGAGTAAAGAACTGCAGGTCTGTGGGGACTGAAGTGGGTCGGATGAGGCTCACTTCTATCTTTAATCACAGCATTTCTTCCATACAGAAGAACATTTACAGTAGTTTTCCCCACACACTGCAGCGTGAGCACAGGCTCAAAGTCAGGAAAAGTCATTTTTTCTGTGTAATGTGAACATAAGTTTTGTCTCTCTTCCCCCTGGGGCCAGAAAGCTAGATGAATAAAACCGGACAAACACATTCATCAGAGGTTGGAATCTGACTACGCTCGTGGATTGTCAGTATACGATGCATCACCTTGATTCGGTAGTTTATAATACCAGGTGCACACGTTCTGAGTTGCATATTTTACGTTATGTTTGAGTTTTGCCCGAGTCAACATTTTCTAGAGCCACCTTCGAGTGTCATTTCTCACCAGTGGGAGTGTATATTATCGTCCTATAGTTTTCAGCAGTTTTTGACTGTCCCAAGGAGGTTTGTTTCAGGGTTCAAAGATATCTTTCTGCTTGATCGTGAAGTGGGGTTTAGGGCAAGTTAGAAGTGAATTTCTAGTCTGGATCCAACAGTTTTGGCAAGAGTTCTTCAGCATTGCTTGATAGGACAAAATTGCTAATTTCACATCATATCTGAACGAGCAAATTGTAAAAAGAAAACAATGGCAGAAATAGTCTTTTCTATACAGTCTTTGATTGCTCTTGTTATTTATTTGTAGCTCACATAATAATCTAAAATGTAAAAGACTCACTTTATTGTTGTGTTCATTTGTATTCCAAAGACTGAAATGGAGCATTATAGCAGGGATTACACACGGATTCTTTAATTACAGTGATTAACAGGCTGATATGCAGCCATCCAGATGGAACTCACTAATATGTGTAGTGCACGCTGTTAAGCAAGTTCCCTAAAAGGCTGTGCTTCCCTCTTGTCCTCGTTGCAGTTTGCTGACTGGTCTATCAGCTGTGTTCAAGCTAAACATAAATCACTGAAAGTTAAGAGTCAGTAAAACTATGAAGCATAATCTGGAGAACAGATGTAGGGAGAGCAGGGTGCTCTCTCCACTCGTGTGATTTAACTGGGGGTTATCAAATCATTTAGACCAGTACTGTCTTTAGCTTCATTAAACCTTAGCCCAGTTTTTAATTTTCTCCAAAACAGAGAAAATCAATTGTTCCTTGACCAGAGGACAAGTAATAGAATACAAAATGAAGTGTGTGAACATGTTCTGAAAAATGTTTGGGGAGTCTGTACACTCTGTTGGATGCCTCTGTTGGAAGCAGTGTCCTGTGGCATTTGGAATACATGAATCTGAAGAGGGAGAGTAAACAGAGCTATTTCCATCAGTAACACCCACTGCAGTGTGCTGATGGGGATTCAGACATGTTTAGTTTTAAGAAGGCATGTGTTTTAATTTATGGAATAATCTGTTTTGATGATTCAAACTGATTTCTAAACAGGTGCTAAATCCAAAGAAGAAAGGGAAGAAGAAGAAAAAGTACCAAAACTCAGGAACGGTATGCTGTTATTGTTACTCAAGTTGTCCTAATATGTTGTCTGAACTTTCATGCCATTCACCGATACAAAGTGATAACAGATGGTATGCCAATGTTCCCTAAAACCTTTCTTCTGCAATATCATAACAGTGCCATCCTCATTTTTATGTGCGTGAAGCATCTGATGTTTACTGTTATCATCGCTAAACTTAAGGATTAAAGTGCCTTATCAAAAATGGATTTTTTATTGGTGAGAT